AACACTGGTTATCTTTAGATGCTAATTTTTTTTTTGGTTTATTTTCTTAACTTCATATAATCAGTATGCATTAATAGGTAAAAAAAAACAACCCAAAAGCACACAATGTAGTTCAAGCAACAAAAGGGAACACGGGTGAGGAAATAACAACTCTCTATTAGAATGTCAAATCTACACAGTGCTGTTCTGGAGGCTCTGTATTAACGCATCTATATGAAGAGCAGTTACTACTGTACTGTGCTGCCCCGTTGTACAAGTGGCACAGTTATTACACCTGCAAAGTTACTACACTGAAGTTATTACACCTGTACTGTCACCACACTGCACAGTTATTATACCTGTACTATTACCACACTGTGCGGTTACTGCACTGTGTTGTTACTGTACGGTTACCACACCTGTACTGTCACCACACTGCACGGTTGTTACACCTGTACTGCTACCACACTGCAGAGTTATTACACCTGTACTATTACCACACTGTGCGGTTACTGCACTGTGTTGTTACTGTACGGTTACCACACCTGTACTGTCACCACACTGCAGTTATTACACCTGTACTATTACCACACTGTGCGGTTATTGCACTGTGTTGTTACTGTACGGTTACCACACCTGTACTGTCACCACACTGCACGGTTGTTACACCTGTACTGCTACCACACTGCAGAGTTATTACACCTGTACTATTACCACACTGTGCGGTTACTGCACTGTGTTGTTACTGTACGGTTACCACACCTGTACTGTCACCACACTGCAGTTATTACACCTGTACTATTACCACACTGTGCGGTTACTGCACTGTGTTGTTACTGTACGGTTACCACACCTGTACTGTCACCACACTGCACGGTTGTTACACCTGTACTCTCACCACACTGCAGAGTTATTACACCTGTACTATTACCACACTGTGCAGTTATTGCACTGTGTTGTTACTGTACGGTTACCACACCTGTACTGTGACCACACTGCGCGGTTGTTACACCTGTACTCTCACCACACTGCAGAGTTATTACACCTACACTGCTCCCACTGAATAGGTGGCATAGTTATTACACTTGTACCGTCACTGCACTGTATAATTATACCTTCACTGCCCTCATTGTACTGGTGGCACAGTTAGTGCACCTGTGCTATAACACTGTAGTTACACTTCTACTGTCCTCACTATACAGTTGACTGTTATTATACCTACACTATTACTACACTGTACAGGGCTACACCTGTACTGTTATTACACTGTAGTTACACCTGTACTGTCCCCACTGTACAGATGGCACAGCTAGCAAGCAGCAGAGGAACAGCAGCTGGTGAAGGAGCTCAGGTTGCTGCCTGCAAGCAGGATGGCAGGTGTCACCTCTGCAGCCCCTAAGGAAGCCCACACCCCAGGGCCCTGCACAGCCCAGCCATTACCCACGGGCTCAGACTCCCCATACCTGCTGGCCCATGATGTCTGGAGATAGAGCCCAAGCACCAGCCCCATCTGGTCATTCGGGTGGGGTTACCCTAGAGCAGTTAAGTGTTGAGGACACATTGTGTCTGTGTACCTTCCTACCTGGAGGACAGGGATGTGTGTAACTCACAGTCCTGTGTGAGGTGGAGGAATACGCAGGGAAAGGGACAGAAAAAGAATGAGACGCATTGCATCCAAACACCAGCTCCCCATGAGGACCATGATTACTATGTACTACAAGCATGTGCTCATTAACAAATAAAAAGTTTACATCTAAAAAATAGAACTACCTAAACTGAAAGGGGACTTAGAGAAAGGAATATAGTGCAGGCAGAGAAACAGAACGTAAAATTACTCTAATGTAGAGAAGACTAGTACCTTTGTTCAAGGAGCTGAAAGAAACCCAATGTGGCTGCAGTGTTGCAGGTTAAAGAAAGCTACCTGGTTTAAAAAAGAGCGGTCAAAAAATAAATACCAAGTCATGAAGACCATTTAAAGATTTTTTTTTTTAATCCTAAAAACAATTAAAATTCACTGACAGTTCTAGTAACATGACTGGATTAGCAATTGTAGATCATTGTTATGTGTCTATACACTACTATATATTTATAGTAGATGCCTAAACTCATTCATATGAATACATAGAGAAATACAAATATATGAATACATATTTATTTCTTGGTAGGTGAGTAATATGTTGATCTATATAAAAAGGGAGAGAACAAGGTGATAGGGAAAAGATTTACAAACTACTGACTTTAACTACATCTTGTTTTATAAAACCTTGGAAGTATATAAATGTGTGTCTTAATTGTATAATAAAGTTTAATTTTAAAACAATGAGTGAGAAGTATGCAAAAGAGCTTCAGGAGGTGTCATAAATAAGCACAGAGCCATGACTGCTACCTGAAACAGAAGGCCAGAGGGTCAGTGCACACAAGCACAGGCAGCTTAGAGTCTCTCTCGCCTCCCATCTAGGCGCGAGACATACCTCACATACCGGGGAAGCCCGAAATTCTAACCAGGACATTCTTAGGAAGAGCCAGACATCAGTGTCCTGCTACTCTCCGCAGTAAACTTAACTCTTCAAGAAAAAAACCAACTTTAATCATAAGACATGTGCAGTTCTAAACAGGGTCATCTCCCATATCGGCTGATCTTATTACATCACTAAACGCATGGAGAAAGCCTAGCTTCTTAACAAATGCTATATTACTGAAGAAAAGAAACGGGAAGGTTTTCCTCTAAAATCAGGAACGAGACAAGAACACCAGGATCACCATCACTATCTGACACTACACTGAAGTTCTCACCGAAGCAATTAGGCAGGAAAAAGTCAAAGGCATCCAAATAAGAAAGGAAGAGGCCAAAGTGTCTCTCTTTTCTTTGAAAAGATCTTACACACAGGAAACCCTAAGAATCTACCAAACAACTTAGAATTGATATATTCAATAAGGTTACAGGATACAAAATCAACATATAAAGTTCAGTGGCCCATCTATATACTAATAATCAACCATCTGAAAAAACAAAATGTCATTTACAATAGCATCAAGAATAAAAATTGGGAATAAACGTCAAGGTGAAGTCTGTATACTAAAAGCTAAAAAAAGAAAAGAAATCAAAAAGAGATTGAAGACAACACAAGTAAATGGAAGAATTCCATTTTTCCTGGGAGGTAGAATGTATACTCGCAAAAATATGCATGTTACCCAAAGCCCTCTACAGACCTAAGGTAGTCCCTATCAAAATTCCAATGGCATTCTCCACAGAAATAGAAAAAAATCTTAAAATTCCTATGAAACCACAAGACATCAAATAGCCAAAGCAATCCCAAGTAAAAAGCACCGATCTGGCAGAAGTTTGAACTCGCTGATATGAAAATACATTGCAAAGCCATACTGACGACAAGAGCACCGCGCCGGCATGAACACACGCTAACCGAACAGACCAGGCAGCCCAGAAAGACGCTCACACTGCAGTCAACTGAGTTCTGACAAGCAGCAAGAACATGTAATTGACAGTGTTGAGGAAAACTGGATATCCAGGTGCAAAGAACAGATCCAGGCCCTTACCTCAATCCAGGTATCAAAACCCAGCTCCAAGTAGATTGGAGACCCAAGTGCTGAAAACCAAAACTACTCACAGACAGCAGCCAAGAAAACAAAGGAGAAACCTCCAAGGCACTGGTGGAGCAACAAGGTCATAGATGTGGCTCCAAGCACAAGCAAAACAATCACAATCCGACAGAGGGTTTTCACCAAACTAAAAAGCTTCGATAAAGCAAAGGAAAAAATCAAGAGCAAAGAGAAAGCAACAGAGTGAGAGAAACTATCTACAGAACCACTTATCTGGTAAGAGGACAATAGCCAAAATATCTAAGAAACTGAAACAACTCAATAAGCAGAAAGCTCAATTGAAAATGGGCAAAAAATGTTTATAGCAGCAGAGTTTATAATCACTAAAACTTGGAAACAGCCCAAATGCCCATCAAGTGGTGACTCAATAAAGATGTGGGTTTTTTTTTAATAAAATGGAGTACTACTAAGCCATAAAGAACGAGAAACTAGAGACATTTATACCTAAATGAATGCACTCTGAGGCCATACTCTTACGTGAAATAAATAGGACCCAAACGTGTAAATACCAAATAGTTTCTCCTGAAAGTGTAAATGTGGGCCAAAATGTAGGATAATGTGAAACAGGAAGAAAAGGTCCAAAGGGAAAAAAGGAGAAGGGAAAGTCGGGAGCAGGGGGAGAAGGGAAAGGAAAAAATATAAGAAAAGGAAAAAATAGAAACAAAATCTTTGTAAAGAGGGAGGGGCAGAGGGGTTGAAGGGAGGAAGGGGAATGGGGAAAAAACTAAGAACCAAGCTACATCATGTAAAAGTACAAATTCCCAATGATGAGTGTCATCATGTTGTATATCTTTTATGGACCAATAAACATAATGAAAATAAATAAGCAAGCAAGCAAGCAAATTTAATTTTAAAAGAAAAATGAGCAAAAAGAGCCAGGCATGGTGGTGCATGCCTGTAATCCTAGCACTTGGGAAGCTGAGGCAGAAGGATCACTGGGAGTTCGAAGCCAGCCTGGGATACATAGTGAGTTCAGGGCCAGCTTGAAGTACAAAGGGAGACCCTGCCTCAAAAAAAAAAAACCTAAAAGGGCTGGGGTTTTAGCTCAGTGGTTCCAGTGCCTGCCTTGCAAGTACAAGGACCCCAGTTTGATGCCTGGAACAAAAAAAAAAGAACAAAAGCCTGAACAGATGTTTTTCGATAAACATACATATGACCGATACATGAAAAAATGCTCAACACCACTAGCTTAATGAAATATCACCTCATTCGGTCAGAATGTCTGCTGTGAAGATGACAACAACACATGCTGGTTGGTAAGGATGGGAGAAACGGGAAGCTTCACACTACTTGTGGACCTTAAACTAGTAAAACCATTGTGGAAATCAGTATGGAGATTTCTCAAAACCCTAAAAGTAAACGACCCTGTGACCCACCAGTCCCGCTCCTGGACATATACTCACAGGAAGTGATGTCAGGTAGGGCAGAGACATCTGCAATCCCATGCACAATGCAGCACTACGCATAACAGCCGAGAAACGGACCTAACCTAAGCACCGGTCAATGGACAGCTGCAGAAAGAAGAGATGGCACATGAACATCAGGTGTGGCCAGCCAGGCCGCAGACTGCACGCACCTGTGTTGACAAATATTTTAAGCCAGGTGTGATACGTGCCTGCAATGCCAGTGCTTGGGGGACTGAGGCAGTAAGATCACAAGTTCTGGACAACCTGAACAACTTAGTGATTTAGCAAGACTCTGTATCAAAAATAAAGAGAAAAGGCTGAGTAGCTAATTTTGTGCAGAAATCCCGTGTTCAATCCCCAGTACCACACACACAATTTTAAAAAGAAGTTCTGTTACTTACATATATTAACTGCAGCCCAAGATAACTCCTCCTCACTCAGCATGGCCCAGGCAAGCCAAGCATGTCCGACCTGGAGGCTATAGGCTAGACGTGCTTGGTATATACAATGGAATTCTATTTGGTCCATAAAAGGAAATCCCATTTGCAACAACAGACACAGGTGGAGGACATTAAGCTAAGCAAAATAAGCCAGGCACAAAGACAAAGATTGTTCTTAGTCACTATTTTCATTGCTGAGACAAAATTCCCAACACCCAAAGGTAAAGGAGAAGTTTATTCTGGTGTACAGTTTGCAGAGGTTTGCACCAAGGCAGGGTGACAGGGCAGAGAAGCCTCACAGAGGAAAAACTGTCTATGGCAGGGCAGAGCAGGAGAAGCAGAAGGCAGCAGAGCAGTGAGTTAGCAAAGCAGCAGCTGCAGCTGCCTCTCCCTTTAATCCCTTCCAGGCTACCTGCCCTTTAGTGGTGCCACTCATACCCAGGTGGGCCTTCCCATTAACCACACCCAGAACTATTTAACACAATCAGCGGGCTAATTTAGTAATCACACCTTAATCCAGCAGCACACACTAGATCCAGCCACCTCTGAAAAAGCCCCACCTATGACCTCATGAGGCTTTGGGGTGGGGGGACGTCTAGACACAGCCATAACAGACTGCATGATCTCACTTATACGTGAAATCTAAAAAAATCCAACTCATAAAGGGGTTGATGGAGGTTGGAGAGGGAAAAGGAAAATGCCAATCACAGGGTACAAAGTTTCAGTTAGGTAAGAGGAGTTTGGGGGGGGTCTATTGTACAGTATGGTGGCAGCAAGTAATAATAAGGTATTACAGACGTCAACATGGCTGAAAGAAATTTTAACTATACCACAGAGAAGTAGGTAGGGTGATGGATGGTAAATTAGTGTGATTTAATCATTCCACAATGTATTCAAGTATCACAGCATCAGACCATATCCCACAGACACAATTTGTCAACTTTAAAAATATGTATGTACTTTTTAAAAAAGAATAAGCAGCTAGATTATGAAGCAAACTTCATGTGAATACTGTGGTTGGTTTACATTTAATTCTCTACTGATCTGAGACCGAAAAGCTAACCAAACATGTCCAAGAGTGAGAACAGGAAAAGAGCAGATTCCTGCTCTGAACCACCTGGACTTGGCTGACTTCCGCCTCTACACTATTTGGGAGGTGGGGGGTACAGGGATCAAACTAGTGACCTTATGCTTAACGAAGCAGGAGGCAGAACCTCTGAGCTAAATCCCCATCCCATACCCAGATAACTTTAATAATGGGTGTGCCCAGCAGGTGAGAAGATGGATGAAACCAGGGTTACTTTCCCTACCAGGTCAACGCACCTGTGCAGGTGAAAGGCGAGTCATGCTCTGTTCATACTGGGCGGGTTCCCCTACTCCTCGGCTAGCACGAGAACAGGGTCCTGTAAAATACTCTTTTCTTCTCCAGGACAATGGTGGCAGCACTGTACGGGAGCCCGTGATCGCTCTTCCAAAGAAAACCTTGGCAATGGTATGAACCTCTGCCCAGACTCCCCAGATACAGTCAGGCTGCTCCTTCTCGCCTTCAGAAATGGCCAGTCGGGTCCAGGCAGAGGATCAGGCTATGAAAATCTCCGCAGGGCATGGTGGAGCCGAGCAAGCTCTCTCCCCAACTACAACCCGCACTTTACAGAGGCCTGAAGACTCAAAACTTAAACACCTGAGTTTATAATACTACTTAGGTCCATTTTTTCCATCAACATTTCAAAATTTATAACTAAAAAGCTATATTAACTATTATCAAATGTGTGCAAACACTAAATATTAACAACAGTAGGCACTCTTCTTGTAGACAACTACATCAACATTCACTGCTATATTACCCAGTAACGTTGTTGATAGTATCTTCGAAGCTACATGTTATTAATTTGGGCTTAAATTAATAAGTCTGTACCTAAAACAACTGGAAGCTTGTGTCCTTCACTTCTGGTCTTGAAATAAAAAGCTTATAAACATATTGCAGGTGTGACAGCTTTAACCAAACACAGCTTTTCCCCCCTGGGAAGGCAGCCTCTGCTTTTGCTAAGTTACAGTTTTCAGATGCTTAATTAGGTAACATTGTATTGGCCAACAAGTCTTGGCAGCTGATGTGATCATCTGAATGGAAGGGAAAAAAATGCACACCCCAGAGGAGCAACTGGAGAAGTACTAGAGCAAAGCCAGAAAAACAGAAACTACTCTCGATTTCCTTGGTGTGAACAAATGTCCCCAGCGTGCCTGGCCGGCCTCACTAAATCCCTTCTCCTGAAACAAAACCTAAGTACAGACATCATCATCCCTGCTATCTTCACAATCACTGAAGTTGTTTTTGAGATACAAGCAGAAAGAAATTACCATTGCAGTATCCAGTTTTTCTGTCCAAATCAAGTTTTTTTTTCCAAAAAAGGCACATGCTGGCCAGGGATTTAGCTCAGTGGCACTGCACCTACCTCAAAAATGCAAGGTCCTGAGTTCTATCCCTGTACAAAAAAAAAAAAAAAAAAAAAAAAAAAAAAAAAAAAAAAAAAAAAAAAAAAAAAAAAAAAAAAAAAAAAAAAAAAAAAAAAAAAAAAAAAAAAAAAAAAAAAAAAAAAAAAAAAAAAAAAAAAAAAAAAAAAAAAAAAAAAAAAAAAAAAAAAAAAAAAAAAAAAAAAAAAAAAAAAAAAAAAAAAAAAAAAAAAAAAAAAAAAAAGAAGAAGATATGCTGAGCAGCAAAGAAAAGCTGTTAGAGGTCGTCTAAGTTCCATGCCTGCTTTCCAGCACAAACCGCTTGCTTTTTAAATTTAAATATAAAAATGTTTTCTAACTTAAAACCAACAGTGCTTCTCAAAATTTAACAGTAAGTACAAATGGCACGAGACTCTTTTATAATTAATTTTCAAAATTCCTTTCATAACTGGAACAATTCATTTGGGGATATGATTTTCTTCAGCTAATTAAGATGTGGACACAGTGAAATACCTAATACAGTAACCTCTTTTCCTTTTAGAAATCATTAGAAGAGGTGAAACCAGCAGCAACTAGGTAATATATATACCAAAAAGGGTCTATTACAAACACAATTCAGTCTGAAATAACCCCTGGGAAAAGCACTTTAACATCAATATCTATACAACAAAAGCTAATCTGGAATTTAAACTGTCTTAAGTTTTGGGTAATTTCAAATTTTCTCTTCAATCTTTTACCTTTCACAATGTAGTAGAAATGGAACACTGATTTTTTTTTCTTTTAGAAGGACAATTTGCTATGGACTATAACTTCAAGTTCCCTTGATCAGTAATACACACTTATCAAAAGCCCACTCTCTTCGTAACAGGTTGATAAGCAACTTTCTTCTGGAGTACCTTCACATAAACTTGTAATTATACAAAAAAACAGTTGCTACACGAGATAGCAAAAGCAACCTTTCTGGAAACTAAAGATGTGGGTTTAACATTCAACCCTCTCTACAGGCCACACACTCAAGTCAGATAACCTCAATGTGCAAATTGAGTTTGAAAAACGGTACCGTAAATAAAACTCAGTAGTTCGAGGATAATAAAATCTTATAAAAAGGCAACGCAAGGTAACAATTACTACTACAAAAGCATACTATCACAGCCAACTAAGGAAGTTCGATCGTGAAAGGGCAACCCTAATGAAAGAGGCCTTACCGCTTATAAGGAGCCCGCGGGCTTCTGCAGTCTTCCCTCATCTGTGACACTTCCTCACCCACGTGGTGTTTGCAATGAAGGTCAGTGGTACTTCAACCTCTATAATTCCTGTACGTCTAACTTCAATCAAGTAAACTTGACGCATAATCTTCTCTCACAACTTCGATGGTTTCTACATTTCCCCCACCCTGAGAAACCTATAGCAAGAGACTGTCCTACAAAAAGGGAGCCCCCATAGGCTTTCACACAAATACTGCTGCCTAAGAGGCCGGTACAACCCATTGATCTCAGTCCTCACCTCAGGAACTAAGGCTAAGCACTCAAGTAGCAGACCTACAAGGCAAGATTTAAAAAGAGAACTGACCGCGAACACCTCCGCCCGATCTTCCCAAGAAAAGCAAAGCTAGATCTCTGGATCTAACGCACTACTTTGGGAATAACGAAAATGACAAATGGTAAGAAAAAACAATCCCAGAGAGATGCCACTGAAAGACGTTTTGTCTTTAGGACAAAACGTCGTGCAACATGTAAAAGACGCTCACCGACGCTGTCTGCTCCCCAAAGGAGACACAGGCTCCTATGAATTCTCTGACCTAAACACGAAGTGTCACAGATCCAGGAAAATTGACGAATTTCTAGCCTGAAGCAGCAGCAGCAGCAGCAGCACAGGAAGGAGCGAGGCCAGAAGGGTTTCTGGTCTACTTCATCTCAGCCCGGCCCTGCCCGGTCACCTGCTGAGGACCCAGTGGACCTGGACGCAGCTCCTAGGCGCAGACCGAGCCGGGGCGGGGGTCCAGAAGTCGGCAGATGGTGGTTACGACGCGCCGCCCGCC